CAAATGCTCACTGAGTGGTAATCAACTTTAGCAGCAAGTTTTCAAAACTGCAATTTGAAATTTTATTTCACTTAATAAAGTTCATCAAGACTTTTTTTAAAGTTTAATACTGACTTATTTAGTTCGACATCAAACGGCAACTTGTTCCAAATTGGAATCAAAAACCAAAATCAAAATCAAATCAAATATATTCTGAATAAAGTTGTTACATCAAGGATATTTACAAATAGTAATTTGTACTAGTATAAAGTAAACACCTGTCAAACTAAATAAAAATAAGATAGAGATAGTAATAATAATAATTATAATACAAGTAGGAATAATAAAAGTAATAGTAGTGATTATAATGATAAAAAAAATAATAGTAGCGATTATAAAAAAGAATATACTATAATAATAATAATAATAATAATAATAATAATAATAATAATAATAATAGCAATAATAATAGTAATAATAATAATAATAATAATAATAATAATAATAATAATAATAATAATAATAATAGCAATAATAATAATAATAATAATAATAATAATAGCAATAATAATAGCAATAATAACAACAAAAATAATAACAACAATAATAATAACAATTACAATAATATTCATTATGATAAAAATATAGTAATAGTAACAACAACAGTGATAAGAGAATACTATAGAAACATATCAGTTTATAATAATAAATTTAATAATTGATATTAAAATTAGTAATATATCACGATAGAAAAGAGAAAAAATAAAAGATGAATAGAAGCACTGCGTTAAGGTTATAAATAATAAGTTGTAAAAAGGTATAAGATTTATAAAGAGTATTTATCTAAAAAATGGTTAAAGAGAGCAGTTTTAAATTTTGAGAATGATTTAAGAGATTTTAATTGGGAAGGGAGATTGTTCCAGGTTTGTATGCTTTTATGTTGTAAGGATTCGTAGCCGTAATGAACAGTTCGGTATTTAAGTACAGATAATTTAAAGTTGAGAGATCGTAGAATATATTTACAGTTTTCCCCATAACTAAAAAAGTTGATAAATGTAAGAGGTAAGTTATTATGATTTTGGTTCCAAACAAATAGACAATTTGATAGCTGAATAAGGTCACACAAATTAAGGACTTTAGATAAAAAATAGAGTATGCTACAGTTCGAATTAGTATGTTGAAAGTAAATTAATTTTAGAGCTTTGTTTTGGAGATTAGTTAGTCTTAAAAAGCAAGCTTCTTAGATTGTCTCCAAACTTGGCAAGCATATCTGAGATGAGAGTGAAAAATAGCATGATATAAGTTAAGCAAAGTTTCATGGTTAACAAAATGACGAATTTTAGCTGAAATACCATTCGATCTGCTTAATTTCAATGCTAAGTCTTGAAGATGCGATGCAAAAGATAAATTAGAGTCTATTTTGATTCCAAGATATTTAATAAACTGAATTTATTTTTTGGTTAACTGAATTTATTTTTTGGCCACTTAATCTGAAATTTAATTGCTTATTTATTTTTGTTTGAGCAGATTTAAATATAATAATTGTTTTTTTAGAGTTAAGAGATAATTTATTGGAGCGGAGCCATTGAACAACATTAGCTAGATCGTGATTCATATTTTTGTTAAGTTTTTTAAGTGATTTATTAATTAGGAGTAAGTTGGTGTCACCCGCGAAGTGATAAGCAGTAGAAAATTTAAGAGAAACATTTAAATCATTGATAAAAATAAGAAAAAGTAACGGACCTAAAACTGAGCCTTGCGGAACACCATTAAAAGATTTAGCTAGTCCTGAGTTGATACCATTAATTGAAACAAATTGTGTTCTATTACAAAGATAAGAGGAAAACCAGAGAAAAGGAATACCTCTTATACCGTAGTGTTTCAATTTTTCTAAGAGGAATGTGTGCTCAACTGTATCAAATGCTTTTCTTATGTCAATAAACACTCCACACGCAAAGTGTTTATTATCGATGGCTTGTCTAATTTTCTCTGTTATTTCTATTAATGATTGAGTTGTTGAGTGTTTGTTGCGAAAACCATACTGGTGTTTGTAAATAAATTTATGTTTTTCCAAAAAATGCTCGAGTCTTTGGAGCATTGCTTTTTCAAATAGTTTACTTAAGTAAGAAAGAAGTGAAATAGGTCGATAATTGGAGTAGTCTAGATAATACGATTGGAAAAAAAAAATTCTTCTACTCGAATGTCTACAGGTCTCAGTAGTATATCTATGATTGTGGATGTATTTACGAACACTTCTAGCTGGTCCAGTTGGTTGGCAAAAGTTCCTTAGGGAAGATTTTGTATTTAGCTGATAAGAACTATTAAGACATTTAAAAAAGTTAATTAAATCGCTTCTTTCTCTTCTTATAGGTAAGATTGTTAAATTAAGTCTGTTTAATCTTTCCTCATAAAGAAGCCCTTGTAATGGTCTTGTTGCTCTGTGTTGTACTCCTTCAATAAGACTAATGTCTTTTTTTAAAAATGGATTCCAAATAGAAGACGCATATTCTAAATGAGGACGTACTAGCGAAACATATAACAATTTAAGTATATCAACATTTAAAAATGAAAACGTGTGTCGGATAAGACCTATAATTCTATTTACTTTAGAAACTCACGCAAATATATGATGACAATATTTCAGATCGCTTTTAAACATGATACCAAGATCATTTACACAGTCCACAGTACTCAATTGATAATAAGAAATGTGATATTTATTGATATTTTATTTAATTTATTACTTTTATTGATATGCATTATTTTACATTTTTCTATATTTAGTTGCATACTCCAGTCATTGCACCAGTTAAAAATAGAATTTATGTCATCCTGTAGATCATTACTACTGTTATCATGGATTATGTGGAAAACTTCGCAATCATTAGCATAGAGCTTGCATTTATTTTTTTGTTTATCTGGTAGGATAAACAAAATTAAAAATGCAAATTAAAAATGCAAAATGCAAATTAAAAATGCAAGTTAAAAATGCAAAATGTCTATCCGGTAGTATAAACAAAATTAAAAACAAAATTGGTCCCAGAACAGATCCTTGTAGTACACCACTTAAAACATTAAGCTACGTAGAAGCAATGTCTTCAAGAACAACTCTTTGTCTTCTATTTGATAAAAAATAATCAATCCATTTAAGAATAAAAAATGCTTTAGAAAAGTCAGTAAAAAGAATGATCCGATGGCGATAACAAATAATACATTATAACTTATATTTTTAAGATCTTAACCGTTTTTACATTAACTATATTACTTACATTCTTTTTATTTTTGTTTCTCAAAAACAACAACAACAAAACTCTATTTATACAAAAATTTCGTTTAATAACAAAAAAACACTATTGTTCAAACAGTCGCCACATAATTGTTATTTAGTTCGTTATAGCCATATTGGCGCTATTTACTGGTTATATCGATCATGGTATCGGAATGTTGTTTTTCTTTTATTCTAATTCAATTTTCTTCCAATCAAAGAATATCAATAGGATAATCTTGATCTACTGATATCTTGGCTATCAAGTAAATTTGTAAAGTAAGATTTACCAGGTAAAAAACCATGCTGTTTCTTGTTTATCAAACTATTGTAAAGATACCGAATGATGGTTTTTTTTAATATCCTTTCTAAAATTTTGCATATAACTGAAGTGAGAGAAACAGGTTTATAGTTGAAAGCATCAAGCTTATAGCGGTTTTTAAAAATCGGAACTATTTTTGAGTTTTTTTATTTGCACTTGAAAATTACCTCCATTTATTTTTCCGTAGACATCCTCTTGATGTTGAGGATAAAAATATTCAAAAACTGGTTGAAAACCATCCTACAACCAAACAATACCTTGAGAGTTCTTCATTGTTTGTCTCCAGTAATAATAAGGCTAGTAACAATTCCAGTGCTGATAATGCACAAGGTTGGGAGGAAAATGAATATAATGTTATTTTAGGAAAAGAAGATATTACCTCACATCAAACAAAAACCATCCAGTTGCATGTTGGAAGCAGCATGCAACTGAACTTCCTATCTTTTCAGGTGTTGCAAGATCCTGGTTGGCAACTCCAGCTACCTCTGCATTATCTGAAAGAGCATTTTCTGCTTCTGACCTTGTCATCACTGATTGTAGGTATAATCTCGATAGTAACAAGGTAGATAAGCTTGTATTTATATTGCAAAACTATTCCACTTTTGAAAATTAAATTAATAAATTGCCTATCGAACATGAAAATGAAAGTGAGAGTGATATAGGACATGAATCAGGCTTATCTTTGCAAATATTATTAGAAGATAATCCTTAAATACCAACGAAAGTACAGCAAAGGAAAAAACAATGAATGAACGATAGCCGAAATATTGTAGATTGTTAAAAAAACTAAATCTCTAAAAAAGCAATTGTACTTGTATTTAATTAATAAAAAATTCATTAAGTCACTTTTTTTTTGTCTTTTGAGAGTCTCGATTTGAGACCATGCAATACTATACAACTCTTTTTATTATCGGTATCGTTTGGTATCGAAGTGATACTGATAGTATCAACATTGGTACATAAGCGATACCACACGATACAAGACCATCCTTCTTGGTATCGAGTTATACGATACCGATATATCTAGTGTCTAAGCCAGAGAGCTATTTTATACGGTGCAATGACCGATCTCTTTTTTTAATCTGTTTGTTTTTTTCAGTTTCGATTAATCTCTTTTTAAGCCGATTTTACACGACAAATAAAAAACAACAGCAACTTAGAAAAACATTGAGACGTTTGAATTGGCGTTTTGAATATTCTCCACTAAAAAATAAATTTGAGATTTTTCTTTTTTTAAAAAAGCAAACTTCCGAGAGTTTTTTCACAATTTATCAAAAAAACTTTTCTAAATAAATTTTTATTTCAATTTAATCTGAAAAATATAATCGAAAGTATTTGCAAAAATTTGTATTTAATAAATAATTACCCTTACAAAAAAACCCAGCGAACTTCCAGCGAAAGTTCGCTGGAAATTAAAAGATCACTGGAAATTTACTAAGATCGCTGGATTTCCATGGAAACAAAAGACTTCGCTGGAAATCCAACGAAAAACTTCCAGTGATCTTAAAGTTCGCTGGAAGTTTACTGGGTTTCTTGCGAAATATTTCGCGGTGATGTAAAAAGCGTTGCTGTTACAACTTCTGCAAGCAGTTAAAACTTGGAAAATTGATAATATAGCTTCTTAAAATAATATTTCAAATTTTTGTATAAAAGTAATCCTTTTTATTTTATTTTTTGCATCTAGTAGATGATCTATAGTGTGAGTTTCAATTATTATTAGTTCTACTCAAGTTACAAAACAAAATCATCTGGTATGTTGCTCAAAATGTTTATTTCTCTTAAGTATTGTTTATTATGCATTCGCTTTATGCGAATGCATTTTATTTATTAAATTCAACTTTATTATTTTATAAAAATAATTTTTATAAATGTCTTTATGATTAAGTATTTTATATTAAAAATAATAAATAACAATCTGTTTCTCTCTCTCGCTGAAAGAGAGGGATATATAATATATATCCCTCTCTCTCTCAGTATATATATATATATATATATATATATATATATATATATATATATATATATATATATATATATATATATATATATATATATATATATATATATATATATAATATGTTAGTGTATTCTACAAATAGAGTGCTCAACGTTCTTAAAGAACAGAGCAATAATAAATTAGTAAAAACACTTATCTAATTTTTATTTTCTTCTACAGCTTGTTTCTCCATCAGTAGGATCATCAGGAAGGAATCTTTCTGATGATCCAACTGATGGAGAAACAAGCTATAGAAGAAAATAAAAATTAGATAAGTGTTTTTACTAATTTATATATATATATATATATATATATATATATATATATATATATATATATATATATATATATATATATATATATATATATATATATATATATATATATATATGTATATATATATATATATATATATATATATATATATATATATATATATATATATATATATATATATATATATATATTTCTGAAGTTGCTTTAAGTACTAATAAGCAATGTGCAAAATGTTTGAAATATTTTACATTATCCTATCTTTATAAGAAATGCAGTTATTTTCATATTTTAAACATAAACAAACAGCATAAAAACATGTGTGATAACAATTGGATACATTTAGCAAGTCTTGAAGAAAATGTGCAAGCAACAATTAGACTTGTTGTTAATACTGATGGAATTCCTGTTTTTAAATTATCAAAGTGGACCTTGTGGCCTTTGCTAGCATCCATTCATAATTTTCCATATTCATTGCAAATTACTAATATTTTGTTTTTTGGTTTCTGGTCCAGTTTTAAAAAACCAAACGTGCAATTATTTTTATCTTGTTTTGTTGATTTTTTACTAACCTATCCACTACTGGTATACTCTTATCTAATAATGTTCGTGTTTTTTTTCATGTATCTTTTTTTTTGTGTGATACAATTGCAGGAGCTATGGTTTTTTGTTGTAGGTAGTTTAATGATTATAATGGTTGCCATTGGTGTTCTTCTCAAGGGGTAAAAGTTAAAAAAAGGTAGGAGGTCTTGTATGACATCCATTTTCTGATGTTAATGGGAGTTGTAGAAACCATACAGATTTTTTTTGGATTAATGTGATTAAAGGGTTTTTAGATTTTTCTACATTTGTAAGAGTACCTAATTTTAATTGTGAAAATGGAACAGTTGTTAATAATCTGCACTGTATTGAGCTTGGTGTTATGAAAGCTATGTTTTCTTTCTGATTTGGTAGTTATTATTCTGGTTATATTTTTTCTATTAGAAGACACTGTACTGTTGTAAATAATCTTTTATCTGCAATCAGTGTGCCAAGCAATATAAGACAGACTCGATGATCATTAAGTTGTATAAAGCATTGGAAAGGTATTGAGTTTTTTACTTTTTTAGTTTTTTATGGTCCTATTATTTTATGTGATGTTTTGCCTCCTCAGTTTTTTGACCATTTTACTCTTTTATCTAATATTGTTTTTACGTTGAACAATAAGGTATTATCTGAAAGTGTAATTAATGAAGCCACATTATTAGTTAATAGATTTTTTTATGAGTTTTCTGATTTGTATGGTAAAGAAAATATGTTTTATATTAAAGAGTTATTTTAAAGCAGTTATATATATACAGAGCTTTATTTAAAGCAGGTATTATATTTTAATGCAGTTTTTATTTAAGTAAACTAAAATCTTTCTCTCTCTCTCTCTCTCGCTCTCTCTCTCTCTCTATATATATATATATATATATATATATATATATATATATATATATATATATATATATATATATATATATATATATATATATATATATATATATATATATATATATATATATATATATATAAATTTTATACAGTATTTATTATATGTTTTTATAAAATTGTTATTGATGTCCTTTAAATATTGTATAAACCATCTTTTTTTTTTAGCTTTAAAGACCCAAACGAAAATACTTTTAAAGTCAATTTTCGCAATTCTGTTTGTTTTGTTATGCTAATTTGTCAGTAGAGAACCAACAGACCACTGACTTCATAATTTTTCCATCTAAAATTATACTAAAATATCCTAATAAATACAATTTGAATTAGATGATATAAGTTATCAGAGAAAGTAAACAAAGTACACTTATTCGGAATAAAAAATGTAACTACTGCCATTTGGTTCTCGACTTTTTTGAAATGGGCTAAAAAACATGCTTAAGCATCATATTGCCTATAAGATATACTTACTGCAATATTTTTCTTTTTCACTAATATACAGGTTTAATTTTTGCTTTATAATGACTATTATGTTTTTTACAGATTTAAATATCTATATCAGTACAGAAAAGTAGAGCTGTATGATTTTTTGTTTTGTTGATTTAAACAGTTGAAAATTTAAAAAAAAGTTAGTTTAAAAATTGTAAAGTTCCTTACAAAAAAAAAAACAGAAAACTTCCAGTGAAAGTTTGCTGGGTTTTTAAATTAAAATTATTTAGTTATTATAATAATTGATTATATATATATATATATATATATATATATATATATATATATATATATATATATATATATATATATATATATATATATATATATATATATATATATAATTAAGTTTTTATTATTTTATCTATAATTATTATTTTTATGCAGGATAAAAGTGATAAAATGCTATTGGTTGGAAATTGATAAATTAATAAAAAATGATTGATTCTAATTGCGCGAAAATATGTTGGTATGTTTTTATCTATCTTATACTGTTTTTTTTTGCTTATCATTTCACATTTTGTCTTATTTTAAATATTATGTTTTATATAATTATTAGTTAGTGTTTGTAAAACACTAACTAATTTTGATTGCTTTTAGATTTTGGATACTGCCTCTACCATTAACAAATTAAAAATAAAAGAAGCACTTCATATTAAATGGGAAAATCCTAAATATGAATTTATCTAACTAACCTACTACATTATTATTGTTATTTTAAATTTTTAAATTTATTTACCAGAATATATATATATATATATATATATATATATATATATATATATATATATATATATATATATATATATATATATATATATATATATATATTAGTAGAAAGTCACTTAATAGAAAATTTTTTAAAAGTTTTCGATGTAACAGTGTAAAATGAAAAAAAAAATTTGTTAAGTAATTTTCTACTTATTTATAATTGCTCTGTTCTTTTAAGAACATTGAGCACTCTATTTTGTAGAATACATTTTGAATATTGTTTAAATATATATATATATATATATATATATATATATATATATATATATATATATATATATATATATATATATATATATATATATATATATGTTCTTTATTTATTGTATGCATTCTTTTTTTTTTTTTCTTTTTTTTTTTAGCTCTAAAGACCCAAACCGAAAAGAATGCCTAAAGTGGTTTTCAAAAGATGAATTGACGAATTTCTTAATTCTTTTTGTTTCGTTGTGATAATTTGTCGTATGAGGACGCTAACGAGAAAAAACTTTTTAAATATAGAAACATGCGTAATATAAAGTTTACTTATGCCTATAAAAAAATATGTTTTACATTAATTAATAAATTAACTTTTTAGTTTCTTGTTATAAATTGTATTCTGTATTGAAGTTTATTTCTGAGAATTTGTAATTATACCTAAGATAATCTAATCCTACATTGTATTTTAATTTATAAAACTCGATATTTTAAAATAAATATATTACTTTTTTATCGTGCTTAACTTCTCTTATTTCGCGTTTATTGGTTAAAAAATTTTAAAATGTTTATAAACTTTTGAAACTTTTATAGCAAAAATAAAAAATCTTTTTTAAAAAAACTTCCAGCGAATCTATTTTTATACATAAACATGAAAATTCGCGCTGGGTTTTGGAACAAGTTCGCTGGAAATTTCCAGCGAACTTCCAGTGATCTTTAAAGATCACTGGAAAAGTTCGCTGGGTTTTGGAACAAGTTCGCTGGAAATTTCCAGTGAACTTTAGAGATCACTGGAAAAGATCACTGGAAGTTCGCTGGGTTTTGGAACATTTTTTCACTGGAAGTTCGCTGGGTTTTTTTGTAAGGGTAAAAACAAAGAACAAACATTGTCACTACTTCATAATATCATTATACTCGTTTCATTCAGCGTTCTACCCTATTTTAATCTATAATTTTTTTTCTTTTTTAATGTTATTTAAAAATACATTGAAATTTTCAATTTGACCAGAAGGTGGGCAGTCGCAATAAATAATTAAGTTTTTTTTTGCTACGATTTTAACTATGAAACCTCTTTGTCGTCATTAGATTTATTCGTGTTAGGCCTATTTTTACGCTTTAATGAAGTTTTATTGAAACCTGGTAAGCAGTTATTTGTATAATAATTTACGTCATCATAACTTCGCTACAGTGACGGATCCATGGGGTGGAGAAAAGGAGGGGGTATGCATTCCCCACCACCAGAATATCAGTGAATCTACATAGCCGAATATCAGTGAATCTATATAGCCGAATATCAGTGACTCTATATAGCCGAATATCAGTGAATCTATATAGCCGAATATCAGTGAATCTATATAGCCGAATATCAGTGAATCGACATTTTAAGCAGTCAACTCTAGTTTTTCTCATTGATTACTTAGCGGACCATTAGTGGCAGGCGCTGAAAGTTGTTATCCAATGACTAGCAACTATTCACATGCCGAAAAAATATTGGCTTGCCATTTATGGCAGCTGCTACGAATGGTCCACTAAGTAACCGTTGAGTAAAACTCCAATCAACCGCTCAAAATGCTTATATAGGTCTACTGCAAATTCAATAAAATAATGTTTTCTGTGGAGCCATAAATCTAAAAACGTTTACCAGTTGTTTAGTTGGATTTTAATTAACTTTGCAAACATTATTATAAAATTTTAATTAAAAACTTTCAAGTTTATAATTAAAAATTTCTAGATAATTGTAGGGGAGAGTGGGGAGAAATAGGATATTAAAAAATATTTTTTAGAACAATTTTAATATCTTTTTTATATAATATATTTACTGCACCAAATAAGTTTCAACAAATAAAGTATCATTTCGGGCACTGATTTCATTCCCTAAGCTGGTAATTTATAACAAAGTATATATTTTTGATTATATTTTAGAGAAACTGTGCCATCTTTTAACAGCGTTACTTTTTATATTTATTATTTATGCTAAATTTATTATTTGTACTGAAAAAAGTTCTTATTATATGTACGATACTTTATTTTATACATTGTAAACGAATCAGTTTATATTATGATCACGTATTTGTAAAACTTTGATATAAGAACAAACAAAAACAAAAAAATGTGGGACAGCCATGGGGTAAAGTGGGACAAGTAAGTAATTAACAACTTATTAATAAAAATTAATAAATAAAAACTAATAAAATCGTAAACCACGTAATCTTCATCAAAATGTTCAAGAAGTTTCCACAAAATATTTACACAAAATATTAAAGAATATGGAAGAAATAGGACCTCACCTCTCAAAAAATCGTTTGTTGGGAATACTTTTCAAAAATGTGGTTTTTACCACATGTAAGGAGACATTGTAAAGTTTACTAAATAAAGTACAAAAAATCTCATTGTTTACATTAGATATTATTGATTAGAGAATTCTCTTAATTGGAATTTTTGAGATTCCTCCTGCTCAAAAATTCATTTCGCTTGTTATTAATTAACTAAATCAGAACATCACATAAAAATTCTGTTTGATGGCATTTTCAAGTTTTAATTTTGGTGGAGATTCAGAAAAGTCGATGAAAACAAGTTGATTGAGATTTAGGTTACAAATATTTCTCAAACAGTTTGTCAGAAAATTGAATATTTGTCACTTAATGGTGCTAATGCTATAGAAGTACTCAACAAATTATACCACTATTTCTTTTATTCGAACCACCAATCTAATTCTTGTAAACGGGTCGGAATTTGAAGTAAAGGAAGATTTTTCCAGAATATAATAAATAAAAACTGATCAAAAAATTAAAAAAAAAAAGTAAAGCATAATTGTCAAAATGTTTTCCCCGTCACTAGAGATAGAATATCATATAAAGATTTAAATAATTGAGAAATAAATAAGGTAAACTTAATAGATACAATAAATAAAGTAAATTTATTATATATATATATATATATATATATATATATAATATATATATATATATATATATATATATATATATATATATATATATATATATGTATATATATATATATATGTATATATATATATATATATATATATATATATATATATATATATATATATATATATATATATATATATATATATATATATATATATATATATATATATATATATATATATATATAACCATTTGTTTAAGATAATATCAAACGTTAAAAATCTTTAAAAATGTTGCATGGCTTGAATAAAAAATAAGAAAAGTCATTTAATTTTTAAATTCGTTGTCTTAAATTCTTTGAATACAACGTATACAAATTGTAGCAATGGTATTATTGCTTTTGTATACATTTATATTAATTCATTACATGCTATGGCAGCAGAAACGTTTCTGCTGTCATTGTATGTAATGAAGGATTATAAATGCGCTGAAGAGCATTTAACCAGAAAATTCACAAATAACTTTAGCAGAGCCATATTAACCTCATAGGTATTTTGAGCTACAGCCAAGAGGCGCCACAAACGTTAAGAAATTTTTAAATTTTACTCAGATCTCTATATTTTTGATTCGAAATTCGAAAAAAGATGAATGCACACCCCGAGAAAGACCGCTGAGTGTAATGTCTATTTAACAAACGAATAAAAGTTAATAGAAGATATTTCCATAACCTAAACTCGTGCAGCACAGCAGATTGGATTTTTTTTGTAGTTTGAACTCAGTTTTTAAAGTGTAAAATATAATATTGAGTTATTATATAGTTATACAAATGGGGTATGTTTCCCTTAATTTTTT